TATATATATATATATATAAAATAACATAATTTATATTTTATTCTCAAGTTATGTATTATATCGCTTTATTATAGGGTTAAAAATACTTTTCTACAACAATTGTTATTACATACATATAATTTCTTTTTGGATGCGTTTTTTATTTGTAAAAAATATTTCTTTTGTTGAAGGTATAGTATTTAACAATTTAAAATGTTTTACATGATGCATGTTGTAGAAATAAATTTTAAGGAACAACCTCCTTTATTCTTAATCTTGCTACACTGGTCTTGCAAAGAAGATTGTAGTTACATTTGCATATGGAGGACCGTTGATTACTTCGTATCTCATAGTTTGAACATACCACAGTTTCATGGAAAAGTAAGCTAAATATGTAGTAATAATATTTATTATATGAAAAGATTTAATTATTGGAAGGAAAATTAATATCTCCGTTTAAATCAACTTTTTTGTAGTATAATTGCATAAAAACATTCGCTTACATATTATTTCTATAAAAGCAGATATTATTCTATAGAATATATATTACTTTTATATAGCATTTTAATTTCTACAATATATCAATACTGCATAAAATAAATATAATTACAATTATAAATTTGGCTATTAGGGATTAGCGCTGTACTGTATGTGCGCGATAAATTTCAAATTATTGAATTGTATCTTACATATTTAATTATTAATTTGTATATATGTTTCGGCTAACTTTTTAGTCATCCTCAGTACATACAGATGAATCTATGTATGTAATTAGGTGAACAATAGATGAAGCATAAGATATATAAGGCTACGATATCCATATTTTCGTTAATTTAGTATTCAATGTTTTCATGTGAGGTAGTTGATCACTATTTCTTAGAGTAAAAACGCAAGTTGGCTAGCTGGATGATACAATCGTGATTAAGTGCTTTCAAGTCATTCATAAAGTTAAAAAATAAATCCTAATTATCATCATTAACAATAATGGTATAATTTCACCTTCATCAAATCACTGCCGATAAGCGTCATTGAAATAAAACATTCATTGACATAAAACAATTCAATAATTTGAAATTTATCGCTACATATAGTACAGCGCTAATTTCCAATAGCCAAATTTATTATAATTATATTTTTTATATCAGGGATTTAAGATTAACATTTGAAATACTACATAATATTTTTATTTGCTCATATAACATTTATGATAATTCATTTTATATAACTAATAATGGAAATTATTTTTATTTTTACAGTGGCCATTCATTCGTTTGTTTGGGTGTCAAGAGCCTGCTTCAGTTTTATTCTCTATATTAAATTTATGTGCAAATTGGATAATGTATCGAAAATTTAAAAGAAGGATAGATCAAACCAACCCTATGTTCTATGCTTGGACGTATTTCAATATTGTAAGTTCAATATTTATATATATCTTTGAGTGTCGTAAAACGTAGCAAACAATTTTTTACATATACATTTTTTCATTAATTTGGAATTGCAAACTTTTTTTAACCAAGCTGATAAATATTATTATTCATTGCAAATTTTCAATTTTTAACATATCACATTTTAATGAATTATAAATCTATTCAATACATTTCAAATGTAATGTAATTTCGAAAATTTTATCTTCAATTATTTAAAACTTAAAAATTATTAATTTGTTATAATTTTTTTTTATTAGGGAAAGAATTGCTTCATTCTGGTCAATAAATTTATAGGCAAATAGCAATACGGATTCTTCACATTTTCTTAATTATGTATTTTCTGTATTTTAAGTATTTAAATTGGCAGTTTAAGGATGTTATTTATCGTTAAATATTTTTCTCTTGACTCACATTAATCCTTGTACGATCTTTGAGTACTACATAATTTGCTTAAGAAGTGCACTTTTATTGTAGATATGTTTAAACGGATGGCTTTGGTCAACCGTATTTCATTCGCGGGACTGGCCATTTACAGAAGCTATGGACTATTCTTGTGCGTTTAGTATGGTACTTACACTCTTATACTGCATGCTTTTAAGGTATGTGCAATAAGTTTTGAACTGAATATAATTAACGTACTAATATTTAAAAATACAAAAAATAATCATTTAATTAATTAATTAATATATATTTAATAAAGTAACTTTAGTATACATTCAAAGACAAAGTCTTTTAATATATTGTTATGCCCGCACCATCCCATATCGTCTCCAAGCAAGTCAAATCGAGAAAACGTGAAGAGCGCGTCGTTGAGCGACGTGCAGCAGTTTGAATGTTGAACGGAATTGATGGATTTAGATTTGGCGGTTGGAACGTCACTTTACTCGGACATGCCATGATACAAGTAAACATGGTGTACTCGTAACTAAGACAAGTTTGCGCATAGCAACGCGCTGACCTCATTTTCAGCAGGCGGGAATTCGACGAGGAGCACGGTCGTGGGAAACGGAGCTGTTGGCGGTGTTGCGACAACGCGGAGCTGGTGCAGTTGCGAAGCATTACGAAGGAGGCTGTAAGAAGAGCATGGCCCTCAACGAAATGCCCAGCTAAGTCCTAGCTAAGTCTTAGCTAAGTCTTAGCTGGGTATTTTGTTGAGGTCCATGTTAATAAGAGAACCGCATTGAATATTATAATAAAAGAAAGAAGTACGCAAGGTTCAAGAGAAAAGTCAAGACTGTTAAGAGGAATCCAGAGAGGCTAAGGGGATGCCCTAGAATTTGACTCTGGAAAGATTGGTTATCTCCTTGGAGGAGTCAAGAGGCGGTCCTACTCAGAAGCCTGCCACGAAGTAAAATAAGCGCTGGAGAAGACAGCTCAGTAATTTGTGCAGTAGCGCAGAGTAGAGCAGGAAATTGTTCAGGAGCTTCGAAATTCGCTTAGGAGAAACACTAGCTCGCCGTGATTCAGTCAGGACGACAATCGGGAAGATAAGGAGGAGGGCGCAGGGAAATGCTTCGCAAGCTTAATATTTTGTGGTGTATAATATGTTATACTTGCGAGGCGTTTCCGTTTACGCGACCGAATTGCCAGTCTGAATGAACGCGCAATATTGTAACAAACTCGAACAAGAAAGATAGTCTGCGTAGTGCGGCGAAATACCAGGGCTGATGGAATCAGAAAGGTGAAGCATTGCACATAATGGGCATTGCAAGGAGGGTATTGCATTTTACTATCTATCGACCAATCAAACGCTATCAGCATTTCATTGTCTACTGCGCATCCTTCAGAATGCTTCATCTTTCTGATTCGACGTGCTACCAATCTCCAAATCCGTCAGTTCCCTTCAGCGACTACTGCTCTTTCATATTTTCTCGACTTGACTCGCTCACACTCGAACTCAGAGTCTCAGAGTCGAGTCGAGAAAATATAAATAGCGCATCTATGACCTTCGGAGACGGTACGGGACAGGTGTCGGCACGGTGCGGCATAATAATATATTTAATTTATTAATTTTCATGATTTCATATTAAATCTAATATATGTGTTATTATTTTTAGGATAACAAACAAGGGGACTAAAGCATTTATTATAATAACTTGTGGATATGTGAGCATTTTGTGTACACATTTGTCACATTTATGGTCAGGCAGAATTAATTATGGTTACAATATGATGCTTAATGTAGCGATAGGTAAATTTCATATTGTAATTGTGTGTATGCATTGTACTTACAAGAAGATAACAAAACTACATTGTAAAATTGAACCGTTTAATAATAATTCTAGGATTAGCGACTGTCGTGATAACAATGCTGTGGTGGTATCTTAACCGCATTAAGTTGCCTTATGTATACTTAATCGCTTGGTTCAATATATTAACTACTTTTGTGACTCTACTCGAATTGGCAGATTTTCCTCCTATTTTTTGGATATTTGATGCTCATTCCTTGTGGCATGCTAGTACTGTTCCCTTGACAGTATTGTTATATAGGTAATTTTATATATGCATGCATGTAAATAATTGTAGAATACAGATGTATTTTCGTTATTATTTGAATTACATTTACATACGTGATATAAAATATAATTTGTGTAGTAAAGCTTATATTGAACTTTGTACTTATTGTACATTCTTATTAACATAATCATTGAGTATGATAGAACTGCGACATATATATAAATGCAATTAAATAATTATGCCTTTAATTTCATACAGGTTTGTGATCGCAGATTGCTGTTATCTGGAAAAGTATTGTAACAAATCATTCTTAAATATCAATCGTCATAGGCAGTAATTTCATAATACATAATGCTGGTCTAAATAGATCTACTCATATACATTCTGGGTAAGATAAAAAATATAAATATGAATTTTAATTTAAAAAAATATATGAGGTTTTAATATTAGATATATATAATACATACAACGGGAAAATTATTACTAAACTAAATAAATAGAAATTTTTATTTAAAACTATTTTTTTATAGAATAAAAAATCGTTGCCTTTTATTACTTACCTTATCAAGAACAAATTTGTGTTATATATCAGGAGACACGATAATGTCTCGGCGCTAAGCCAAGCGCAACTACCATGGTTCCTTTACGCGAGACCGCGAGTTGCGATTGAGATTATTGGATCTCAATAATGGTTGAACCGATCAAATTCTACATACGCTTAATCGATAGCATCCACTCAAATTGTATAATAAAAGTTCTACTTATAGCATTTTTCTTTTGGGATGCACTAAGTGTAACCTTGCACCTCACTAGTTCCATTTAAGCACTACACTGCACTGGAGCGGTACCATAGTGTATGCACATTACTTCATTGGCAGCGTACAGGAAAAGCAGCTTTGCAACTATTGTAAAATTTTTGAATATGATTGGGTCTTGCTTTTGATTCCTTATCGATCTAAATGTATAAACCAATCATATTGAAAAATTTTACAACAGTTGTAAAGATGCTTTCTTTGCTGAACTGTAATCTGCAGCTATTCATTATTGTGCTAAAGTCGCTTCCGGTTAACTTCCATTTTCGAACTTTAAATGTCACGCTGCCTCTACTTCGTCCCTTTGAGACAGTGCATGGGATTTTGCTATACCGCGGTGTAGCAAAATCCCATTTCGTGTATGAAATTTGCAACGGAAGCACGGTACACTGTCTGAATGTTGCATTAGTGCAACCAAGGAAAAAACGTTATTAATATTCTTCAAATTTTCTTTTATACACAAATACACATATTTGTATGAAAAACTGTTCTGATTCTTTTTTATTTTGAAATACAAAGATTTCGTTAAAGATATATAAAGAAATATGTGCTCTTGACTAATATATATATATAAGTACAATATATATTTCAGAATAAAATTTTATTGTATATATTAATAAAATGCAAATATGTATGTAGAACCTATTACTTACAGACAAATATAGTATTCATCGCATGTAACATCACTAAAAGAATATATGTATATAATAAGAAACTATTACTAAACGATAAACAAATTTTAATCTCGTAATATACAGGGTATTTGATAAGTAATGATAAAACTCGCATAGGAGTAGAGCGTACTAAATGGAGTCGAAAAATTCTTTGCCATTTTGCAATTTTCGCAATAATTTACAAGATAATTAAGATCAATTATTAAAAATCACCGAATATTGGTTTTCAGCTTTTTACTCAAGTACTTTCAACTTTTAGAAGAAAAATTGCAAGAGACAAAAATTGTTTATTTTCTTCTTATAGAGCTTTAAGAATTTTTTCAGAATTTTTTAATCAACTTTTTAGTACTGCATTTTTTTATTTTTACTAACATGAGAAAATATGGTATTAAAAAGTTTTAAATAAATTCTGAAAAAATTCTTAGAGTTCTATAAGAAGAAATAAACAATTTTTGTCTCTTGCAGCTTTTTTACAAAGTTGATAGTATTTGAGTAAAATAATTATTGGAGACCAATTTTTTGTAATTTTTAGTAATTAATATTTTGTTAACAATTGCGAAAATTGCAAAATGGTAGAGGACTTTTCGACTCAGTTTAATCCAATCTACCTGCCCATGAAATATGGCGATTATTTTGGAATACCCTATATATTGGCAACTATTTTACCAACATGAAAAAATGCGATATTAAAAAATTCTGAAAAAATTCTCAGAACTCTATGAAGAAAAAAAAAAGCAATTTTTGTCATTTGCTGTTTTTCTGTAAAGTTGATAGTACTTGAGTAAAAAATTATTGAAGATATACAATATTCGGCAATTTTTAGTAATTAATATTTTGTTAATTATTGCGAAAATTGTAAAATGGTAGAGGACTTTTCGACTCATAATCAGTTTAATCCGCTTTATCCCTATGCGAGAGTTTATCGTTACTTATCAAACACCCTATATATAAACTTTATTATTTTTGTTTCCGTTTTTAGGGCAGTATAACAAATATTGGCAGAGAGATCGTAACATCATTCAGTTTTGACAGTCTAATAATATAAATATGACATATATTTGTGCGAAATATATTATATATCTCTTTTTCCTTTCATTTTTAAATTTTATTTTATATATAAAACATTTTTATCATATGCAACGGAATGATTTTTTTCTTTTATCATATTATAACAAATAATTTATAAAATGACAAAAAATATTAATATGGAATAATTCATATCAATTATATGAATGATAAAATTTATAGATTAGACAATATTAAACAAATATTAAACATATTTAGAATAATCAATTATACAGAATTCTAAACTTGCATTTTGTATTCCTGTTGCGATAAAGAATGTATCAAAGCTTAATGCTTTAATAATTATATACAGAGTATCTGATAAAGATCGTAATAAAAGATCATTTTAAGACAAAAATTCTAATACAAAGTAATATCAAAAAGGCTATAATAATTTTTGAATTGTTAAGCATTTAAAGTTAGCGAATCGTACCGTCTAAAGGTCGCGCGTTCAAGTGTGATTGACATTTTCCATTGTACTTGAATTTTAAGGCAGTATGATTTGCTAATTTAATGCTCATTAAAAAACTTATTATAGCTTCGATATTTTTGTATTAGGATTTTCGTTTTAAAATAATCTCCGGAATTTATCCTTAAGCGTTACAGTCTTTACCGAATACCCTCCCCCCCTTGCATATAATTAATAATTTAATATAAGTAGATTTTAGATCTGCTGGATGGGGATATTTTTAAGTAAAAATTAAAAAATAATAAAGAATAGTTCTATTACATGATAAATAGGTATTAATGCATTTAAATCATTATAATATATTCGATTCTGAGTCATCGTGTGTTTTATATCCCCGCAATTTTAATAATTTTTATTTTTTATTTTAATTTTAAGGAAATTATCTTTTAAATTTCACTATAATGTTTGGACGAAGAGAATAATTTTTATTACAAATTTAATTTACCCCCTCCTATCATGTCAATGCTACTTTATATATATAATGACATGAGTAAAATATGAATAAAAATAATAACTATATATTTTCTATTGGAATAAAACGACTATCTCATTATACAATAGATATTACAAATGCCTTAACAGTCATTGGATATTTTTTTATGTAATTATTTATATTATATCTGTTAATTCAAAAAATAAGTATTTTTAAATAACTTTCAAAACTAACATAATTATAAAAATTATAAAAATGCTTTTATAAATTTACATAATATAGAAAATAAATTCTTTTAATTTTTCGAATATAATACATGTCACAAAAGCTACTTTTTAATTATTGCTTTGTACTGCCTGTTTCTTCACTATGGAGTCATAAATAGTCATTATTAATAAATGTTTAACCACGATGCACGTTTTTTTTCTCTAACAAAAAGTAATGTTAAGGCATTTATATATGTATACACACATACATACATACATATAATCTGAACATTCTTCGAGAAAAATTTGTCGTGTGCGTAAAAATGTATTTAGTATAACAATATCACAAACTTCAATATATCAATCTTCGTGTACTTAGCTGCTCTTTGCGTATGTACAAAATATGCATTTCAAATTCAGGTAGTATAAAACCAGAAATAAATTGTATACGTAAATAAACATTCTTTTTCATCATTTTTTCTTTCATACCATAAGTACTTAATTTTAAGTAATCATAAGTTTGTTGCGTTTTTATGTTTTTATGTTTCTATGTTTTATATTTCGATTATTTAGTACTTAATGTTTGAATAATGCTTCGTTTTCAGGATTATCGTCTCTGTGTTTTTCGAGATTTCCAGATAAGGTCGGATCTGGCCGTCGCCTTTTGAAGAATCCGAATTTTCGCAGTATTAATGTAAGTAGAATGAATAATAACATGCCAGCTACTGCAGCCACTATATATATCCACACTGGTACAGGCTCGGCTTCTTGTTGATCCAATAGATCTGGATAAGCGATTGTCTCGGCCTATATAATAATGTAAAAGAACACTATCAAATGATTTTTATCGTAACGCTTTAAATATGTTTCTTACATATCTTTTTGTATTAAATTTAAAATTGAAAATGCAACATTAGAATTTTGTTATCAATTATCAATATCTTGGGTTTAATAATATGACAATTACCAAGTATGTATTGTATGACAATTACCAAAATATGTATTGTATATCTAAAAAAATTTGCTTACAATTGCGTAATCATCCTTCAAGTTCTCTTGTTGTATCACAATGTCTGAAGGTATTACTATTCGAGCATTGGAACCTATTTTAACCATGTCCACTTTCGGATAATCTTCGACTAAAGTAGAATTCCAAAGTCTGAAATCAGTTATTGCTTTGAAGATTATAAGATGCTCTACAATATTAAAATGAATATAACTGAAATATTAATATTAATGAAATTTCTTATTCAATTGTCTGGGAAAAATAAAACTGTGTATGTTTATTAATATATATTAATCCTTAAGTAGGCGCATGAGCGCTTCAATCGCTGTGATTTTGCTAGTACGCCTACTTAGAGGATAATTATTAATACATAATTTCAAGAACTTTTGCATGTTTTTTATATTTTACAGTAGAAAATACTTCCACCATTTCCTTTAATTTATTATAATTTGGAAAATATAATGTTACAACTTATATTAATATATTTTTTCAACAACTTACGTTAACATATTTTATTTGTTTTGAGCTCTAAAATATTAGTTCACTCTTTGAAAGTATTATATTAATTATATAATTAAGAGTGATCCGTATTAATAAGTCTATTTAATAAATCTATTTATGATTTAGTGTGACACAATTAATGTGAATGTGATAATCATTTTACATTTCTATTATTACCTCGCTTTAACAGTTATGATTGCTTCCTGTTTCCTCTGTAAGTTATATATGTAACATGTAATATCAAAACATTTTGCTGTGCCAGCTTTGCAATTCTGTAATGTAAGATCCTTCCATTAACACTTCATGAAAAACGTTTTGTTATCAAAATATGTAATATATAGAATAAATTCGCAAAATTAGAAAAGCTTTCAATTTTGAAAGCTTAGAATAACGAAATTCTAAAATTAAGAAATTAAGAACAATAAAGGATATTTTAATTTTTGATGCCGCCTTTTTTGAAAATGAAGTTTGAGTAGAAATACTGAAAAAAGATCTCACATTTACAATATATAATAAATACAATAAATTTACAATAGAATACCCTATTTAACAATAAATAATAAAATAGAATACCTATTTCATAATTACAATTTTTTTTTAAAACATAAAAGGTTGGGCAACGAACCAGATAATCTGATTTATTCGAATCGAGCTATTGTATTTCTTTTTAATTTACTT